CCAGTGCTTCTCTCAGTAACAGGTCAGAAGTTTCCTGACATTTGTGAATATTGATAACAACTGTATCACTGTGAATCTAAAACTTACGCTACACTGCTTCTGTCTCACCTGTTGTTGATGCAAGAACATATTGTGAAACACCAGCCATTAAAGATGATGTATGCTAAAGGTTTGTTACTGGTGGACATATATGTTTATTCTTTCTGTGATAAAACTTAAATAATAAAGAAAAATAACAAAAGTGCCGAAAAAAAAACAAGAAAGAATAATTAAACGAATCATTTGAATTATATGCAAGTGTGTCTTATCGGTATGACTGCCCGTAAGGTTATGCACCCATTTTCTAGCTGTGATATGGAGAGCAGGCGTACCAGCTTATGATGATGCACTAGGAATCATATCAAAGCTTTTGGTCAGGGAATATAAATAATTAGGGTGAGTTATGTAGACTAGTGAGCCTCGGCTAATAGAAGTAATAGGAAGATACTGCGTTATTCTTTTAGATCACAATATTTGTCTATTTTATGGCTAAGTAATCACAAGAACGACACGGTGATTAGATACTACTTAAAGACTTATGTAAGCTTATTTATGTTGGCTAAGACGACTGGTCATAAATATATACGTAGAATGAGAACTTTTTGTGAGGTAAAAATTAGTCAAGCAAAGAGATCCCCGTCTGAGTCCCACGGCATAAGAAGAAAAAAACTTAAAATACAAAAATCGTAACTGTAACATTCAAGAGACATTAAATACACGCACACACACACACACACACACACACACACACACACACACACAAATATATATATATACTCCTACCCACACTTTCATTTACCTTCCAATACCCCCATTACTCCTTTAAGTCATCAACAACTGCAACATTCCAATCAAAAAATGTCTATTCAGCGTAAAACACCCCCTCTCTCCTCCACCCAGATCCTTCCTTGGTTACAGCCAGCAAAAACCGGGATACACTTGAGAAATATAAAACCCAGATTTCTTCTTCTTGGAACCCGTTGGCCATTCACGTGAAAGAAATACACCGCCCTTTATGGTGGCTACATAATTTCAGGACCAGAGGGAAAGGATTTACAGTAGGGATTTCTGTAGGGATTTCTAGAGTTCTTGTTGATAGGTTTGAGGGGGGGGGTGTACACGTGAGGAGAGAGTCTGCCATACACTATACCATCATGTAAACACAATACACACACACACACACTATCACATCACCATACCACTATAACACCTAACTACAAATTCAGCATACAACTACCACCACACCCTCCCCCAACAAAAAAAATAAAAAATCTACCACTGACCTCACATAACCTATTTGCACCAATCAAGGGGCAGACACCTCCTCGCGTTAGACAAAACTGTTACGAGTTTGTCTTTGTTACGCTCAAGTGTTTACGTTACGAGGTGGGATGTTACAACAGTCTGTAGTCTGTGTGACGAGTGTGGGGCATTACTGGGTGGTTTAGTCACTACTTAAACAGACTAATTCAGTGTTGGTAATCAATTTTTTGTTTGTAATTATCGCTCTTAGATCACCTGAAGATTAGACCCCCCAGCTTATTTAACTGGTAATTAATTAAACACCCTTACATCATCATCAATAATAACAACAACAATAACAGCTAGATACTCGGGCTAAAATAACCTCACATAAATGTTAAACGTATTGGTAATGAAACCTGAACTAGACTCGAATACATCCACAGAAAAATTTAGTTTCTGTCCATTAGTCTTGATATAACTTTAGGCAGAATTAAGAAGCAATATTTAGGGGAGATTAATATTCCTGGCTCCCAAATGTTAAACTAAAGGACCGATATAATAGGAACAGTGTAGCTGGACTTATACGGGAAAGAGACGAACCAGGTTTTATAAACACAACGTATAACAAAGTCTTGATAATTGTAGTAATAATCATAAAGTCAAGTATATGTTAAATTTAGGTGCATATAAAGGCCTCAAGATATTAAGAAAATTACAAGGTATTACAGACACATACACAGAGTAATTATATACATGAAATACATAACACTGCCAGACTACTGTATACTATTCCTTGTAATATATAAACTGAGAAACACACTTGATGGGTCAGCATGTGGGCTCAACCTAATCAACTTGGCCTGAGATAACTTCCTTACCGAGAAACTTTTAGAACCCACTTGATTAAATAACTTTCTGGACCTTACATTTTGCCTGAAGAGGACCTCGTAGATGACGTGAGTGTAGGAGAAGATTTACGGGACAAGGAGCATTATAGATGAGGTTTGGGACCAAGATACAACACATGTCTAAACTGCTATAAACTTTCAAGATCTATGTTGTCAGATGAGTAATATAAACTGGCTGTATCACTCGAACAGGAGTGTAGATTATATGAAGTCGCATTGAAATAACATAATTACACACCACTACACTTGACAAATCCAATCAAAATATATTCACTATTTTTTTTTATATAGACTTAAAGTTCAAGATATTGACCTGAGATGTGACCCTGACCGTCTGACCTATACAATCATAGACGTTTCCATTGGTCAGTTCAGTTTGTTATGTTGACCTTAAACCTGTGGCTCTCACCTTTGACATAGTTCATCAAAAGTTAAATGTGTTTATTTTAAGTTTTTACTCACCTCAGCCTGACGAATTTCAAAATGTTGTGGCCACTTTGACCTCTGGGTGGGTGACAGGGGGTGAGGGGGTGGGGTGAAGGGACAGATGGGGTCGAGGAGGGGGGGTGTAAGAGTGGGGGTCAGGTTTAAAGGGCTGATGAGTGTGGGAAGAAAGAGAGAGGTGAGGGAGAGCAATGAGTGCGTGTAGATTGAGGGTGTTACATGGGGGCGAAGAGTGTGTGTGGTGGAGGGAGGGAGATTTAGGGTGGTGATGAGTGCGTAGGGAGGGAAGTGTGTTGCAGAGGGTACGTGGGGAGGGAAAGAGCGTTACAAAGAGGTGAGAGGAGTACGTGGGGAGAGTGCGTTAGGAGGATTAAAGATAAGAACTGAAGTAGGATAGGTCAGTCACAACACATTCAGGTAAAGGCCAACTTGTTTATTCAGGACAACCTATAGTTATCACGACACTGTTTTGGAACCTGTATATATGAGCTCATACAGGTTACAAAAACGTCATCGTGGTAGCTGTAGGACCCATTAACATTTTCCTATGGTCACCTTCATTCCTCGGTCTCAAGTCCATCGTCCCCTCCCCAGCTTATTTCACTTGATTAAACACCCGAACGCTACCTGGGAGGGTTAGGTTAGGTTAGGTTAGGTTAATCTTAAGGGGATTCTTATATTTTAAAGAGGGGTAAAAGAGGAGGGACCACCGAGTCATGCAGATTGCGTACCATCATTAAGATCTCTCTAACTGGGAGCCTTCAATCAATACTTACCTGTAGTTGGTTCAGGTATTCAGGTAAGCCACTAATTCTTCCAGTAAAGTATATTAAAGTAACGTATGATAAAGTAGAGTGAACTATAGTAAAGTATAATAAAATATGGTAAAGTACATGAAATAAAAAGTAAAGTAAATGTAAGTCATTCATAATAGTTTCTTCACTTACACAGCAGAATATATGTTACCTGTAGCTCATCAAATCTGTTTCACCTTGATCGAGAAACTGTCGTGAGGGTCTGCTAATAAACGTGGAAGTGAGGACCGGATGGAACTAAACATTATTGCCAAACTTCACTCATAAAGATGGTTGAGAGTCATTAGTTAACTTCAGTTGGTAACAGTGGCAATCAGAAGAGGGAGAGAGGGAGGATGGATCAAGTTGTGTTTGTGGGTTCGCACCAGGTTTGTTTGAGGTACACACACACACACACACAAACACACTCTCTCTCTCTCTCTCTCTCTCTCTCTCTCTCTCTCTCTCAAATCTAGGGAAAACCAGGAAAAGAAAAGACTCACCTAAAGCAATATTTCCATGCGTGGCTTTGATGCATAGTAAGAGGAGCTCGTTGGTATGTCCCCCTCCTCCCGCCCCTCTCGCCCTTCCTCCTCCACTCCCTCCCTCCCCTTCCCCCTCTCTCCCTCCCCACCATACCTCGCTGCATTTCGAGTTATAATTAGTACTGACTGATGTTAAGCAATCCTCTCACACTGTCAATATATATTAAACAATCATTTCGAGGCTGATCGCTCTACCTATACTAAAAATTTCAATTAATTTACTGAATAAAATGTGTGTTGTCCAGATGCCTTTTACAGCATTTGGAACTGGAAAATTTATCAACATATTCTAACCGTGGTGTCGCCTGGGGCACGGCAGATTTTAATTTAATTTTATACATAATTGGACCAGCTACAAAGCCTTTTCCCAGCTGCTCTCATGACACACAATCTAAATATTGCATGATGATTCTCATCTGTTGTAGAAAGCTTTTATGTATTTGGTACAGAGGTGGCGGTGGTGGTGCAGTGGACATTTCAGTGAGTAGGAGATACAGTGGTCCAGGGTTCGAGTCACCTTAGTTTAATATTAGTGTTATTAGCATGAGCAAATACTCGCCAGCGTGATGTAAAAGATAGACTGTAAACATTATATAACTCTGCTCTTTTACCCAGTCTGTGGTCTCGCTGGCTGTAAGTTCTCGTGGGGGTGTAGGTGTCATCTGTGGGGCCAGGAAGGTTCTCGTGGGGGTGTAGGTGTCATCTGTGGGGTCAGGAAGGTTCTCGTGGGGGTGTAGGTGTCATCTGTGGGGGCCAGGAAGGTTCTCGTGGGGGTGTGGGGTGTCATCTGTGGGTCCAGGAAGGTTCTCGTGGGGTGTGGGGTCATCTGTGGGGTCAGGAAGGTTCTCGTGGAGTGTAGGTGTCATCTGTGGGGCCAGGGAGGTTCTCGTGGGGGTGTAGGTGTCATCTGTGGGTCCAGGAAGGTTCTCGTGGGGTGTAGGTGTCATCTGTGGGGCCAGGAAGGTTCTCGTGGGGTGTGTAGGTGTCATCTGTGGGGCCAGGAAGGTTCTCGTGGGGTGTAGGTGTCATCTGTGGGTCCAGGAAGGTTCTCGTGGGGTGTAGGTGTCATCTGTGGGGTCCAGGAAGGTTCTCGTGGGGGTGTAGGTGTCATCTGTGGGTCCAGGAAGGTTCTCGTGGGGTGTAGGTGTCATCTGTGGGTCAGAAGGTTCTCGTGGGGTGTAGGTGCCATCTGTGGGGTCAGGAAGGTTCTCGTGAGGTGTAGGTGTCATCTGTGGGGTCAGGAAGGTTCTCGTGGGGGTGTAGGTGTCATCTGTGGGTCCAGGAAGGTTCTCGTGGGGTGTGGTGTCATCTGTGGGGTCAGGTTCTCGTGGGGGTGTAGGTGTCATCTGTGGGGTCAGGAAGGTTCTCGTGGGGGGTGTAGGTGTCATCTGTGGGGGTCAGGAAGGTTCTCGGGGGGTGTAGGTGTCATCTGTGGGTCAGGAAGGTTCTCGTGGGGGTGTAGGTGTCATCTGTGGGGTCAGGAGGTTCTCGTGCGGGTGTAGGGGTGTCATCTGTGGGGCCAGGAAGGTTCTCGTGGGGTGTAGGTGTCATCTGTGGGGCCAGGGAGGTTCTCGTGGGGGTGTAGTTGTCATCTGTGGGGCCAGGGAGGTTCTCGTGGGGGTGTAGGTGTAATCTGTGGGGCCAGGAAGGTTCTCGTGGGGGTGTAGGTGTCATCTGTGGGGTCAGGAAGGTTCTCGTGGGAGTTTAGGTGTCAAAGGGTTCAGATATATCATAATAAATATTTATTGAACATATTCTCAGTGATGAATGAAACAAGAATTATTACCTTTAACATCACTAATGAAGGAAGTGAAGGTAAGACAACACCTGTATACAAAGTGAGTCTCCACGCCATTGCTTAAATTACACATTAGTTTTGATTACGTGAAATGCATTGCCTGTTATTCAGATATTTTAATGAACTGTCCTGATTATAAACCTTTCACTCTTACATTTGTTCTACGTCTATTAGGCAACAAATTCTCATTGCAATTATTTCAATGACTCATCTACAGTATGACACACACAGCTGTATATAGGTCAATGTAAAGCTGATGTCATACTCGCTATCCTTAAAAACCTCTTAAACAAAGCAGCTGTTTTATTAGTACACAAAACTAAATTCTTCCTCGGGAGTTATTAACATAGAATCCCATGAATAAGATTGTTACCTCAACTATACAGAACTGTCACATTACATCTTTATATATTAAGGTGATTTGTAGTAAAAGCTGTAAAGAAAATAAAAATCTTTCTGCAATTAAGCAAAACAACGGGCCATCAGTTTGCGCTCAGAAGAGATATAGAGAAAGTTGGGTACTTTACCATCAGGGAAACCAGGTGTAGTGTGTGGTGGTGGTGGTGGTGGTGATGGTGTTGTCCATGTTGCTGCGGTAGTGGTGTTGATATTGTTAGTCTTGTTGTCGTAGGTGGAGGTTGTTGTTGTTGTTTTTATTGTGCCTCAAAAAAAAAAGAAAACATGGGTCAGTCACGTTACAACATCATTGGTCGGTTCATCGGCTCTCTGGACTCGTGTCGGCCAGTCCTATTTAGCTAATTGGGTAAGTCAACTCGTACTTTGGGCTGTAAACTTTATGGTGAATTTCATGATCTCGTAAATGTTGAAGTAGGCAAATCCTCCGGGAATATGTGGACAAATGAGATGTAATTAGTTTACCTCACAAGTACTGAAGGTTTTATTAGTATATACACGATCAGGTGAGATAACTTTGTGTGTTTAGTGCAAAGATAATGATGCGTTTGGTGTGTTCATGTTGTAATGGCTATATAAATGACTGTGATTTGTTGTATACCTGTAAATGACGCAATTAATGTATAGGTGTATATCTGACGTAATTATTGTATACGTATATAATTGGTATAGTTATTGAATAAAATGAATATATAAAAAAAATATATCTACCTCGCCATTGTCTGTATTTAGCGTGGCACAGAAATCGTAGAATGAATAACGATAATAAACAAAAGTGAATCTCCAATAATGAATGAAGTCAGTACACACTTCACTCTCAGGAACGAGTGCGTTACAATCCTGGCGAACGATGAGGCCAGGGACTTGATCAGCTCAGCAACAAATCCAATGAATTTCAAGAGCTAGAAACGAATTAATGGCAGTACGTTATCAGCAAAACGACGAACGAATTCAGTCGTTTTCCTAGTCAAAGAACGAGTGAACACGGTAAATCGAAATCCCGAAATAAACCATTGAGGAATTCTGTGATAATCCCTGAGTCGACGAATGACACATCGAGCGAGACTAAAAGGGTCGAGTGATGAGTGAACAGAAATGATCACACCATCAATGACAGCTAAGAGGTAGTAAATGATCACCCCTGAACCTCAATAACGAAGCCCCTGATCACTCCCTCAATAACGAAACGCTTGATCACCCTCTCAATGAAACCCCTGATCACCTCTCAATAACAAAACCCTTGATCCCTTCTGTTACGATTCCGAACCTATACACAGCAAAGCTTTTAGTGTGTGAGGGAACGAATGAACTGAGCGGATGAGTTTGGCTTCAGGGAATGTGTCTCGTGCGTGTTGAGGGAAATACGTTGATCTGGCTGTCTGCTGTCTGATTAGCCCTCGGGTTTTTCACGGAGTTTGGACGGGCAATCTCCGTTCCTAATTAGATGCTTCAGTAACTCCTTCGACGTTAAGTGAGTATTCGGGTTTTCGAACGCACATTGCCACATCTTTTTTGTTCGGGCTGTCGTTTGTTTCCAGGTCATTTCCACAGAGAGGCAACTCTTTTTTTTTTTCCTCCTGAGTCTGGGAGTTATTTTTCCTCTTCCGGTTTTGTTTTTCCGTGTTGTTTTTTCATTTTTTTATTTTTATTTTTTTTGCTGGACATGTTCCTCCTCTGTCATGTAACACCTTTTCATTTTAACTTTTTTCTTTTTTTTCATACTCTTTGTCTTCCTTTTCTCTGTCCAATTTTCCTTCCGCTTCCCACCTCCTGTCTCTTCTCAGTTAACGCTTCGCTTTTTTCTTTTTCTTTCGTTTCTCTTGTTTTAAATTAAGATCTTTAAATTCCAATAAGAACACATTGTGAATCAAGGAGGAAGAAGTCGTACAATACTCAGACACGTCACAGTAAAGCTCTGTCTGGTGGCGGTGACGGTGCCCACCACTCACCTGCAATGTCACCTCATGCCCTCCACACAGGTAAGGACGAGGTAGAAATAGGCTAGGAAACCCCTATTAGATGAAGGTCTGCTTATACCCACACAAAGGTGAGAGTTAGGTGAAGGCAGGTGAGGGAGCCTCCAGCTAGGTGAAGGTTCCATACGGTTACTCAGGGGTAAGGATAATGTAAAGGTAGGGTAGAGAGCCCCTGGCCAGGCGAAGGTGCCCGCCTCTTGCCTGTAGGGTGGTCACCTCACGCCCTCCACAAAGCTCCCTAATTGGCCCTAACAAAGGGTCTGGCGATAAGGACAAATGTTGGGAGGGGAGGAAGTGACTGCGCTCTGCCAGGGATCGTTATCGACTCCTCCCTACACGGGGGTATTAGCGGCCCCTCGATGATCCCGTGACGAATGTGCCGCACGGACCTGACCATCCACAGACCGCTCACCGTATTGACCATTTACGTACGAGCGTGAAAACGACTATTGATGGACACTCCCCAATTGTTCCCTTTTGGGGTGGGCGTGACAGGCCTTTCTAATGGGGGTAACTAATGGGTGTCTTCCAACGTGCTAAGACGGCTCGCTAACCATTTACGAATATGCGTGAAACGACTATTGATAGACGCTCACAGTTGTACGAATTTGCGTGACGGGTTTTTTTCTATTACTCGTGAGACTCCATTAAAGAAAAGTAACTAATGGGTGTCTTCAGATACATGTGGAGTAGATCGTAATGGACTATTATTTTCTGTTAAGAACATTAATAGAAAGACTTAAGTGCTCTTTAGGGTTTGCCTGACAGTATAGTCGTGACAAAAACTTTAATGGTTACTCACTACTGACCATTTACCGAGATATGTAATAAGGGATTACTTGAAGATCAGACACCCCAGTTTATTTCATTAGAAGATTAACCATCCTACCTTAACGTACGCCTAATTTAACCTAACCTACCTTAACCGAGGCCCGACTTAACCTTAACCTAACCTACCTTAACCTAGGCCTAACTTAACCTAACCTAATATCATTAGGTAGCGTCAGGGCTAATCTTCAGGTGCTCAGTAATAGGTGTAGTGATGGACTCGAATAGAATCAATTAAGTAGGTACCGACTTATCATACCTGTGTGGAAATACTAGACTAACGCATGAGACTGACAGGTGACAAATGTATGCACAGGTGTGAGTAGAGAAGTGTGCTAATAACAGGTACGGTGTAGGTCATTAACTGGATCTAAAATAACTACAATAATAATAATAGTGCCAACAGGAAGAAGACGACTCGCCCTAACAAGACAACAGCAGCACAATCACTCGGACCCTCTGAACAAATATTAAGGGAAGCGTAATTACCGTTATAGAAAATACGCACTTACCCCTACGGCATAGCACACTTACTCAGGCGGCATAACACACTCACCCTCGCGGCATAACACACTCACCCTCGCGGCATAGCACACTTACTCAAGCGGCATAACACACTCACCCTCGCGGCATAACACACTCGTCCAACACACCCCAACACAATACACCTCCTCAGACAGCACACTGAGGCGCCCCTTCATTTAGGGTTGACTGGCCTGATTCCTATCGTAATAAGCCCTGAAGACCTTAAGTAGGGCAGTGTTTTCTTCCTCCCTCATATTGTATTACTCTCCCTTTGTTTACACACACACACACACACACACACACACACACACACACACACACACATTTCACATTTACGAGGTTTTTGTCATTCTTTTTCAAAACTAAAGATAAGTTCCCTATCCTTGCATGTTTACCTGTGGCGTGTAAAGGTAAAATATATTACCTTCAGGACAGGTAAACATTCAAGTAAATCATTAGGGAACACGTAAGAATTTGTGGTCATATTGTAAACATCCATGACGTTAAAATTCTAAATTCAATAAACTTTGATTTTGACCTCTGTATTTTCGAAGGATTTTGAATTTGAAGCAAAAAAATGGTGAATGGAAATTTGGCTTCACCTGACACTGATCTGCTCCGACAACGATATAACCCTTTTTAATTTCCATTTTTGCTCATGTCATCAGGTGTGTCAGTACTGGTGGAGTTAAATGTAAACACACAGTTACCTGGAGCAAACAGAGATACTACAGGTTTTTACTCAGCATTTTTTCCCTGTTCATTAAAACTTTTAATCGTACTTTATATACAAATTTGGCAATTAATTTGTCTTGTTTATTGGATTTAGTTCTCACTGAAAATGGGTAATGAAAGTACAAGATCCTTTAAACCACTTTCAAATAAGTCGTAAGTCTCACTGGATGACCATCAATATATCCCGGTAAGCATCGAAGGAGTATCCACAAGTCCTACCAAATCAAATGACCGGCATTTCTGTGTTCATGTGTAGTAGCCAACAAACTGGTAGGAACGATCCTCACAGGACTCCTCAGAACTGCTGCAGGATTCAACGACCCAAGTTTTAGTGAGACTCCCAGGCAGTGGGTGGTGGTCACATCCCCAGTGGCCAGACCAACGACCCCTAAAGGATT